CAGAGTAGCGTACATATGGAGTATTTCACACGTGTGCTGGGAAATACATAGTTAATATATCAAATTGCCCTTGTGTTAGTGAGAATTCCTTGGGATATTAATGGTGAACGCAGTGCACAAACATGCAAATGTATAGATGTGGTGTTTTAACAATGTCAGGCATATCAGTTTCACGTGTTACTGTAGGATTCTCGATTAATCCTTCATAAAGAGACTACCACGTAGAACGTAGGTTAAGTTATTCACGAGGTTAAACAGAGTGTCTGCGGATGTGAGGGGTGTATTTAACGCTAGTTTGAACAGTATTTCAGTGACTAGCAGTTTTCGTAGGCTCGTTGATGTTCACAACTTTGTGGATTCTTCGAAAACAGGCACGGATCAAACAGACGAATGATCATTATCTGGGCAACTCGTGGACTCGAACCTGCGACTAGCGGATCCTGGCTACTAATGGATACAACTCAGCGAGCTGTGTCCTCGGAGTGACAAAACCGTGACCCGTCACTGCGTGCTCGGTGTGACAACTGTGTAACACAAACAATACACTATCACGCGCATGAGCTGATCCCGCAAAAGCTGCAGCTTCAGCAAAAAGGGGTTTATGTGGCGCTATTCTAGCCTGAGAGTCAAAATATTAAAACTATTATATCTTTAGGAATCCATGTCATTTACTTCAGTATTGCTAAAAGGTATCCATTCATCATAATAAAACGTCTCGCTAGAAATGATGCGGTTCTACATTACTGAGCAGTAATATCCACAGATAGGTCCAACATACAAATCGACAACATAATGAACGGCTGAACCGCATGGCTCTTTTAATAAGTTGAACTTCGTATGCTCGTCACAGAGACGATTTTTCGTTACATCTGTAGCCTTGACAATAAAGCTAGTTTAGCTTTGGATACTACTGCTCCGTATATTGTACAGTTGGAAGTGGTCAAAATGTTCATTTTCGCTCGATGCGAAACAGAAATTAAACATGACTTTGACGTTGGATAATGACCCCTTTCTCGTTTCTCGTACATTAACGTACACTTTCACATAATTCGCTTTTGTCTCTTGTGGCGCTGCCGTTTCAGCGATTTTTATTTACAAGGAGCTACCATATTCCCACAAACATGGTGGTTCCATCAGGGCATGGCTTGATTTTGTCTGTGTATGTGCTATGAAAACAGACCAGGTTGAAACCATATATATAGGAAGGAAGGACTCCAAACCAGTCTAATGTGAGAGTTGGGTTGAGTTGATAATGGCAGTCATCAGTGGATAGTAAATATACGTGTTGGCGATCCGAGTGTGAGAACGCGATGACCTGTTTGTGAAGCTGTGACGTCTGTACATTATGAAATGAGTAGACAGATTCTGCACTCATTACAACGTAGGGAGGCATTAACTGAGATTTGAAAGACTGTTAATTCGCAGAACAAGTATCCACTTCAAGGAACATTGAAGGACAGGAGATCAGGGCACGTCAATAACTTAGCACCCTCACTGACATTGCCCGAACCTTTCCTCCAAACTGTTAATATACAAGCGTCCATGTGGAATATTTATTAACGGTCGCTGGCACGAAATCAATATGAGTGACTACATCACGGACTTATAGTCATCCCGCTACTTCTACTTAATGCTGTGGTGTTTGCTCTCAAGTTTTATTTGGCCTTTTATTAGTTTCGAGAAATCTTCATGTTCGTTAAGGCACGCCACTTTGTCATAATTCATTTAAGCAAATGATCAGCATGTAAATATTTTGACACAGGAGTTGATATGTTACAATTTCCAAACTCATTGTGTTCTTAGATTTATTCTTTCTAAGGCAGTGATATTATGCTTTCTGGAGGGAAATTCAACTTTGTCGTATAATCAATAATACTGCAAAAGCAGTGTTTGAGGATAATTGTTCATATACGTTTTTGAATTATGGGTCACGGCATGGGGCTTACAAACCAATACGCATTAATTGTACATATTTTACTTACAATCATCATTATATTGTGACGGTGATCAACTGATGGCTCATGACATCGATATTTCAGATTGGTACCTTGGCTTTTGCAAAGCTCTCTTTGGCCTCATAATGGGAGTGTTTCACTGACAATGTGTCATTAGAGGATGAAAAAACCCATCGTTCAGCATCGGTAAAAGCAAGTAATAGGTCGTTATTGATGAGTGAAGCCAGGCCAAATTATCTTATTTGTTTGAAAGTAATTCCCACCAGAGACAAAAGATGTTGTATGTGCTTATTCAAAAGATGACAGCATTACAGGATTAATTGGTAAATGGTAATTGGCACGAAAAAAATGTACGAACTGCATTTTTTATGCAGGCATGTAAACATTTGGACGTAAAAAGCTAAAGTATTGCTTAAAAATTGTTTATAAACTAGCAAAGTGAAGTTAATATTTGATCACTGGTTTGATTCACTGTTGACATTAGTACCCCGGACAGCTACTGTTCATGGCCTGAACGGATCTTTAAGTACTGACCTATCTCATGCAATAACATCGTTTTGCATCAAATAGTATTAGTTCCGTTGTTTATCAACACCAATTCGTATTGCTACGTGTATCATGTAGCTGAAATAATGATATCGTATAAATAGATTATCTCCGTTTGGTATCTCGAAGAGGGGTGGTCTGAGACAGAGTGTCCCTGCAAGTGGCAATTTTGGTTACATTCTGATTGTGATATGTATAAAAATGAGTGCTAGAGGGGATCATCAATAAGATTGATACCCCTAATATAATATTTAAGTTATTGTTCATATATCGTGCCTTAATCGGAGCTGTTTCAAGCTTTGTTCTACACATAGTCGTTGATGGAATATATCATAATCTATAAATTACCAAGGTCTTATTTTCAAATGACTCATATTAAACTCTTAGTAATCGGGAAAGGTTTGTAGCTGAATATTGCGCTAAACTAATTTAATAGATTTTACCGTTCAACAATCCAACTAACTATATTAACTATTAAATTCTTTTTCGTATTGTTAAAGTATTATTTTTAGCAGGATATCAATTTACCATGATCAAACTCATTTTAGCATGTAATTCTATCAACAGATACGGAAATAAATAAAAAGTATATATGATGAATTTATCTTTTCGGCTGATTGACTCTAATATCATTTAGTGTGATGTTGGTGGTGTTGTTTTATGCAGTTTTATTAATTAATCATTTCGTGGTTCAAACGGTAACGACTAATCATCCCTCAGTACAAGTTTGTAGAAAAGATAGCTTTCCCTTCCTTTGATAATTCTTTCATGTCTTACTCGTATGCCCCCATAGTGCTCCCTCATTCCGATTTGTGTTGTATTCAATTTATGGTTACCTTTTTTCACAAATAATCCTTAGAAGACAACAGATTAAAATGATGCGTATATTTCTTTGTAGTCTAGGACATATAGTTCTCTACACAGATGTATGACACAGCTTCTTTATTGTGATGAATTACAAAGAGGAAGCAACGGCAGGTATATCAGTCTTTTGACTACAATTAAGGTGCCTTTTGTTTCAGAATTGCCATTAATGGATGAACGAAAGATGGAGCTGGCACAGATAATCACGCACATCTATTGAAATTCATGCAGATCTGTCTGGCGTTGTTCCATCCGCCGTTAATTTTGATTTATTGCTGCAATCCTTTATCGAAGATAATGCTCACGTCTAGAACCTTTAGCTCTAAGAATCGTCAGTCACTGATAACGTGATGCAGAAAGAATTATTGCCACATCAGTTGACCTCCATATCCGCCTTCAAGAACTTGGAAGAATCCTAGAGATATTCGACTCTTCTTCGAATCAGATTCAGCTTATGAAACGTATTCCCCATGTACTTTGATTTTTGGGAAGGATTCGTGTTACAGCTTGAAATATAACACATAAATGTTGGCAGACACAAACTACTTTGCCTGAAGCAACATTGCATCCAATTTTTACTACAGTATCTCCACACAATTCCAACTTATTAAATAGTTCAAACCGTATCGATCTCTTTCTGAGAAGTTTCTAGCAGGGTCGGGTGGTCAGGCTTGGTGACTTGAATGATGCATGTCATCGTTTTCCAATTGCGTAGATCGGTGCTCATGGTGTCAATCACTACATTATCTGGTCCAGACTCAATTATTTACAGACCGCCGTGATATAGCTGGAATATTGCTAAGTGCGGAGTTAAACAACAAACAGACAAAGAAACATGTTCAATAGTTATACCGATAAACACGTATACTTTACATACATAGTGGCTGTAGGTTCATAACCCCAATCAATTTACTCGTACTGCCATGCTGGACTGATGCAGGATTCCCTACCTTGGCCCATCTACACATCAATCTTATCTGATGATTCAAGTGGCAACAGATGCTGAACGAAAAACCGCAGCATTTAACATATTTGTCTCAAACTTGGTTTTGGACTCGCGTTGACAGACCAGGAACTATTATTTCCTATAGGATTTCAAACAACGGCTTAAAGATAATCCTTTTCAGGACTGGACATTATCTCTTCAGTCAACAGCAACCGCTCAACTTGCATATCCATGACAACTTAATCCAATGACTTTGAGAGCTAATGTTCGATGTATCGACTTTAATTTGTTAATTGAAATTTGTCGACATGATAATATTTCACGGAAATAAAGACTACGTGGATTATGCCTGAGACAAAACATTATTGAAAACGAGTATCACCTGCTACTGTGTTGTCAACATCACAGCGGACACCGAATGAACTACATTAGGGCATATTTTATTTCTAACCATGGACACGATAACTAATCTGCTACAGACCAAAATGAATGTGCCTCATGTCTTTCCATTGTCAATATGTATAGACAATTGGAAGTGAACAGTTAACAATAAATTAACTTTACCAATAACTTACTATATCAGGATCATACAATTGGGTGTATTTTGGGCCATCGGCCTTGAACTGAAACTTACCTGTCGCAATGCCTGTATGTAACAGGTTTTCTTATATCCTATCTTATGTTTTCAGGCGCTCTGTTTGAGAAAGAGCATGATGGTCAGCGCCAGGCATTTGAATGGGCAGTAGAAAAGATCAACCTCAGGAACGACGTTCTTGGCAACACCATCGTCGTGGTGGACGACCAAGAGGTCTTGGAGCAGGACAGCTTCAGTGCCCAAAGAAAAGGTGAGCTTCCCCCGTCGTTCAGTGTTTACAGCTACAGCTGTCTGTGTAATTAGAGAGTTTTGGAGGCTCTCTTTATTGCTGAAACACCTCATATGATTTAGGATAAAAAGTGCACTTGCCGTTATCATCCTTTATCAATAACATTCAAGATTATGTATATTTACATGGCGTATTAGTTGTTTCTGAAACAAGGCGATTACGCCATGGAATCTGGTTTAATTTTTTCTTCTTTCAGAATGCTTTCTTCAAACCCATTTCAAAATCCTTACAATCCTATGCTCTGTCAGTTTAAGGTCACCTTGACATGAGGTCACTTTTACATTGTCTATAGAGGTCAAGAGTACATTTGACTTCCCAAGACTACTGTAGGTTTGTGTAAGTGTCAATGCTATTTGTTAATTTGACATATTCCCCAGTAACTTATATTTACCACCGATGTTCATACTTGGGCCAACTCACAGACACTGTTTATGACGATGTATTGTTGTCTGTTTCTTGTTTCTTCTATATACTATTTTCGGGACAATAATAGGTACATGTATTAGTTATTTGAGATGTAGATATTATTTGTCATGACTGCTTTGAAACATAATCGATTCTAAATGTCCTATTAAATGTAGGCTTGTTGTTCGGCAAAAACATATTTTATATCCAACCAAGGTTGATACGAAAACAGAAGTAGCCCAACCTTGTCTAAGACCATACGTTATAATAAGTAGTGCAGCGATCATGCCACAATGTCACCTTGTCCTTCGGCTCATGCTCTATAAGCATGATCGCATGATCAGTAATAATAGAAAGTGCTTGGATCCACTGCAGTTGGTTACACATGTATGCCATGCTATTCTTCACATCTTGCACACCAGATTTTATCGTCAATACTATTTGACCCTTGTCTCGACTTCTCAATTGTGCCAGTTTACACTGAGCCCGGTCCCCCTGTGTGGCAGGATCGACCTCCGGTTTGAAGTGGCCCGCCCCCAATAACCAATACCGATTCCCTTCCCCCCTTTTGGTCTTTTCTGAACCTATTTACAGTAGTCCCATCGCTACCCTCCAGTGTTTGGACAAGCTGTCGATTCGATTTACCCGGAAAAAACGGGAAAGGGATGCCCATGATTTTAAGATTTGAATCCAGTTACGTCTTCCATAATCGATGACTCTGGCTAGGAGGTGATTGGTGCGATAACGAATATGAGGAAATAGCTTGAAGAGGAAAAGCTTTTAACTTTGACTAATATAAAATCGAAGAATTCAGGCCTTGTCCTCTTATGCGATGTGACAATTTTACTAAAGGCTGGGAAACTGTAACTCAAGACGTGTCAAGTCCTAGAGGTAAAGGAAGTAAGCCCCGTGTCTCATTCATTGCTCTGACGGCATTTCGTGAGCTCAACACTCCCACCTTGGGGACACTGTCAAATTCGTTTAATGTAAGGTGGTGTTCTTGTACCATTGAAATCAATGCAACAAATAGTGTCTTTTTCAATATCCTCTTTAGTTACATAGAGGTCGATTTAGACCCCATGTTGCGCAATTGAAAGTAATGATGTAATGAAAAATGCAAGAGGCTAGTGACAAGATCATTACATTATATTACAAGGGCTAATTCAATAACCTTAGAGTCGCACGTGTTCATCATATGTGCCTCAAGGGCATTCCGTTTTCTTATCAAATTTACAAATGTATGCATGCAGCTGTTGCGCTTCAACTTTTACCATTTCGTGAAGCTCGTACCGTCTTGGGGGTATGGTATGCATATTATTAGATATGACACATTCCTGGTCACATTACCAAATACATTTAAACGGTTTCTTTGCTTACGTCAGTTTCAAAATCTTAAAATTAATGGCGGGGTTTGAGTTCATTGTGTGTGTTTGGTGTCCTCTGTCGTGGTATAGCTGGACTATTGCTAAAATCGGCCTAAAACCATACTCACTTTTTTTCATTGTCAACAATTTGAACTAGCATGCACATCCCCTTCTTTTTCCAAACCGGTGTTTTGCTAGCGTTAAGTGGACTATTGGTTAAGCTCATCTGTACAAATAGTGATACTTCCTCCTCTATCGATAAGTGTGAGCAGAGATAATACCAGTCTTCCTGAACGTGGTCTCGGCATAATTCCAAGTGGTATGTTCTTGACCAGCAGCTTTGCACAATTTACACTGCTGCACTGAATGTTGTTTGGCCATGGTTCGTCCAGGAACAAGGTTATGGATTGGGCAAACAACAGATCACATTCATGCCAGCTCACAATGACCGCGGTCCAGGGATCTAAGTGAATTACCCTTATTGCTTTATCAAAAGACGGCGGGGACGTTCATCATTACCGCAACTATGCATTAGAAACATTCACTCCAACATGCACACAATACAAGGGAAGAATTGCCTTGATTCCTCAATTTTGACAGATTTGGGGTGTAATTGCTACACATATCTGGCATTTGAAAGTTAGCCTGTCCTCCAAAAATCGATCTCATTCCGTGAACTTAGAATGGCTGGAAAACTGTCCACTTACGTCTGCTAACTAGACGCCATGTTTGATAGGCCCTTTTCTTCTGCAAGACAGCCACCCTCGTCTATTAGTTCCTGAAGCACTCAGCCTGACAACACTTTTATTCATGCAACCGTTGTGTTCTTCCTACAAAGTCAGTTCCTTTGACGAAGCTATATATGGAGAGCACACTCTGTACTGTACTACAGGCAAGTTGCGTAATAAGCCTTTCTTTTCTTGGTGCAATGATCCCAGTGGCACGTGAAAGCCCATGCATTGCATGATAGGAGTCGAAACTAGCACAGGCTGGGGTGTGTGATTGTGCGATGCTTTAACGTAACAATTTTAGTATTGATTAATTTCATAAACATTCCTGCAACGTTTTGAAGAATTTTACTTACTGACAAGTTTTTCCACTTACAGTTGATATGACTTTATTGTGATTATTGCAGTTTCTCGAAGTTGTTGACAGTGAATGCGATTAACCTAAAGAATACCAATTTAACTTGCTCAACTATTCGGAAATCGTTTGGTTTCAAACAAAGAGGGCCAAAATATTGGCGCCAACATGTCGTCCCCCTTGAAAAAGAGCAAGGGTCAGATTTCACCAGTTCTTTTTCTGAAGATACGCCCAGCTCCATGTTTTCGCATGAGTGAGTGAATATGGTTTTACGCTGCTTTTAGTACTACTCCAGCAAAATCAGGGCGGGAAACAGCACGAAGGGTTACAAACATTGTTTCCCGTGTCGGGGTGATCCCAGGTCTTCGGTTTGACAAGTTAACACTCTAACCGACCCAGCTCATACTAAGGTCCTCAAGTGGCCAGAAACTGAAGTTTGTCTGATAAATCAGTGAAAACAATAGGAACAAAAAAAACAATAACAAAGCCTGACATATGTAATCAATTAGAATGTGTTTCCAATGCTGTCAGTACAGACCGTGAATATGGACTTACTTCCTTGAACAGTTTCTACACATACCAGTAGATTCCCGTGGGTATCCGGGGTTCTCAGCACTCCAAATTTGGAGCCCGTGGGCAGTCCGTGTCCCCAGCAAGCTGTGCTGGTCTTCAGAGGCGACTTATTAGAACGTGTGGTTCAACTCGGTGACGTGGTTGATGGCGTATCAATGTACCTCTAAAGCGTGGATCGTTGTTCATAATATCAATCACAGGATTGTCTGGTCCAGACTGTATTATTTATAGGCCGTCATCAAATAGCTGGGAATTTGATGAGTGCGGGGTTAAACAACAAACGCGCACGCGCACATGCACACACACACGCAAATCACAACTGACATTTAGTCATGTTGATAACTTCATGATAACACTACGTTATATAGCATTAGGAAACATATGGCATCATAAACTGTAACACATCACTTGATAGATTTATTGTGGACCAGGTCATATGCGCATATTGTTTCAGTACCTATTCCCTTTTTCCATCGATCATTATATGCATAAGGTATATGTAACCAAGTGCGAGTTTACAGCTGTTGCATAAGTGCAGATATAAATATTATTTAGCTCCTTTATTCCGCTTCCACAAAACATACAGCTATTTGTGCATTTAGAATGCGGATGGGGTCACATGTAGATTGGGTCAAGCTTGTGTATTTGAAATGGAGATGAAGTTACCCGTGGATTTGAATTGTTGACGGGTAATACGTGTTCAATAAAATGTAGATGCCTAATACTCGTGCAATGTTGCTGTATCTCTGAGCGATCTACAGAAAGTTGAAGGTTCGAAAGTTCATATCGTTAATACAATATTTATATATGATTATTAGCTGCCCAACATTAATTAATGATGGTCCGGTTTGTTAACAGACCGCCGTCGTATGGTACGAGTACTGCTGGTGCCTTTAAGTTTTGTAAGAATGAAGTACTTTTAATATTGTTACCTAAAGGAATCATTTGCCCCCAATATACACATTGAATAAGTCAGCGAAGTTATGGATCCCAATATGTGTTTATGTGTTGATTCCGGTCTTGGTTGATTGGTTGCGTGTCTTGTACTACGGCGGCGTTGTTCGTTGCCCACAATATCCATCACTGACTTGCTTGGGGCAGACTCGATTATTTACAAGAAGCCGTCATACTGAAAGTGCCGAAAAGCCCAACATCCTCACTCAATTATATGTATCTACATACTATAAAAATACTATGTACATGACACGATGAAGCACTGCTACACACACGTATGTAGAAAGCTATACCGGTAATCAGGAATATAACGCTGAATCCACATGGCATGATGAAGCACTGATACACACACGTATGTAGAAAGCTATACCGGTAATCAGGAATATGACGCTGAATCCATATGGCATGATGAAGCACTGCAAAACACACGTAGAAAGCTATACCGGTAATCAGGAATATGACGCTGAATCCAAACGACAAGTACACGACGGTCTCAAACAACTCCTCTCCAACACTCTTAAGCACTATTTCATATTACCACCTGTGTTACTTCACCATGCACGTTGTCCTAATATATGAACACTACAATTTTCACCCAAGTCATTTCCTCCAAAATACGTTCAGTTTCAGTTGATAGAAATGCTTGTATAAGACGGAGGCAGTTTATTTTGATCGATAGATTTTGACAGTAATGCGAACTATCATTGCTTGTTTTGCAGACAGCCTGTTTTCTGTCACAGTGACATCAAATCAATTTCTACCACCATCTGGCGTTATCAAGTACAGATTGCAACCTACTGTGTGTGTCTAATGTTAATTACATTAAAATATCACCAACCGTTCGCAAATGGCAAGCCCACGTACAGATGGATTTCATATGCTGGATTCCAGATTATTGAATATAATGAAAAGCAATGTCATTTCAAAAGCATATGTCAATGCCTTATGGAGAGACACAAGGCATCCACAGAGAACAGCCAACATTAACTCTGGCAATAGGCATCCGTTTCTGAACACGTATAACAGCTTCATCGCTATAATGTGTGATGAATGACTTTTTAAACTAGTAACCCATACATCGATTTGAGTTTATTATTCTGCTTTGACAGCCATGACACAGTAACTCCACTCGTCTGTGTAATGCAGGCCGATCATCACGATGCTAGATCTATGACTAAGGACTACCGAACTGAGTGCGGTTTTTAAAATAAATAAAATGAACTTCCAATGTAACACAATCGCAATTTTCTGATCATTTAGCAATGGAACTACATTGTACCACAATTAAATTTGATAATGGAAGTTTAGCCATACCTAAACAGGCTATCTTATCTGGACACATGGGAATTGTGTTTTACATTCAACTCGCCTTATCTGAACTTTACTATCTCGAAATGTCTTTATCTCAAAACCAAACAAATTGTTCATGTTTCTTATCGCTAATTCCATCCTGAACAGCATTTATCTCCCTCTAACCCTTCAATATATGTACATATAACTAGAGTCTACTTACTTAAGTTGAATAAGCTGTATCAACTTATTGATATTACATAATTCAGCCATTTCCAATGTTTATTTATGATGTAAAGTTTTATAAAGGCACCATCTATACATGTATATTACTGCGTACCTAATTCAGAGTAACTTTATTACTTCTTATTACTGAAGAAATAGAAATAGAATATACTCATAACTTTATTACTTCAGAAGCAAATAACAAAGAACTTTTCAAGAAGTCACACTTGATTTCTTACGCTAGATAATATTGAACTTTTTCTTTCCAACCGAAACAAAACCAGTCTGTATATGAATACTCTTTTAATTTCAGTTTAACGTTGTGAAAGTACACTTCTGTTCATGCATACTTCACTCTTTATCGCTATACAGTTTCAGAAACGAATCGCGTTACTTCCACAAAACGTTTGCAGAGAAGAAGTCCTGCTTTGCGGGTGTGAAATCCCACATACGCTTTTGGAATTACCGCGGTACGTTTGCAGAATTTCCGCTTTGCGGTTGCGGAATTAAAAACGCGGTACGTAAGCGGAAATAACGCAGTTCGCTTATGGTATTACAACGGTACGTTTACGGAGTTAGCAGAGCTTGCGGAATTAACGCGTTATGTGTGCAGAATTACACGGTATATTGGTGGAATAACAGTAACGTACCGCTCAGGTACCGCAAAAATATAGCAAAAGATGTGTCAACCAATCATATTTAAGTCTATAACATAAATATTGCAGATCCTAAACAAATTCTATCAATTGAATAGACGGTGTTTTCAAGCGGACCAACGACTTATGTAATCCAGTATGCAGGGCCCCTTGAAGCAGAAAATCCTAATTGGATTCGTTCGAATATAGCCCATCAAAATGTCATAAGTCCATATGTCTTATCATAGCACATCAGTATTGAATAGCAATTACTTGAATCTTCAAATAAAATCTTTTGTACATTTTGTGTGCGACATTTTGTGAACATGTTGGACCGATACTGTTGAGGTTCACAAGTTTCTAAAACTACTTTTGTGATACATATCTTTGAGGATCTTTTTCACGGAGTAGCCCCTAGCAACCCGTCAACGCGCTTGTCAGTTACTGGTGACAAGCACACTTTTTTCCCGACTCGACTACCGAGCGGCAGACACAAGTTGGAGATATCTCGTAATTGACTTTCTCTCTTTTGCCTCAAGAGGTTTCCTTATAAACGTAGTTCTTTACCTTGCAGCGCAACATTCTGACAGTGTAAGCAAAACGTCAAAGTTGTTCGAGCAGTTATCTATTTTTTCTTCTCCTTGGAGCTCCGAGTTCCGAAGCCCAGACGCCTGTAGATGCTGATACACAGTTCAAAAAGACAACCCTTTATGTCCGCAGAAATTTCAACTTTCCATATCACAACACGCGTTTTTTATCAATTTCATTGAAAATCTATTAAGAATGTTTACGCCTATTCGATGTTTTTAACATTCAATTTTCTAGCCGTCTCATCTACCACTTAAGGCTGGAAACCCCCAGTTTCAAACTGACAATTACACAAAATGAAAAGAGCCAAAAAGGAAATTTAAAGTCCTAATACATCTGGAAACACATCCTTCACCTTGCCTATTCATAACGTCACCATTGATCTCGCCACTTGTTAACCACTCAAATGCGAGAAACAGGAATTTTCGTTGTTTGAAGCGCCCCTACAATTTTATCAGGTTCTGCTACAGCAAACCAACATGGTTATTGGAGGGAGTTTTTCACACGGTCATAGGTTCACGACATACAATTGAGCAAGGACATGTGAATATAGGATCCAACATTCGATATGCGTATTCAATTATTAATCGGCATTACAACTATTAAATAAACAATATCACTTGTGTTGGGCTTCCTATCACCTAACGTAATTGATATTGTCTTTCATAATCTTGTCTGTCCGGTTAAAACTGTATGCATCATTTTTACCTTTTTTCTCATATATGTCAGCTTGAATGAATGATGTTACGTATGTGCATCGCTCCAGTCAGTACAAGACGTTGTTAATTGTAATTTTCAATTTAAGCATAAAAACATCCTTTTTGTGTTTTACTGAGCCTCGCAATCTGTAGTATGTTATTTGATCATTTCAGTATGCCAAATGGTTGGGAAAGGAATTGTTGGCATCTTTGGTCCAGTGTCATCCCTCTCTTCTGCGCATGTGCAATCCATGTGTAATGCATTCGAGATTCCCCACCTACAGTGGCACTGGGACCCCCGAGACACACGTGATTACTACTCAATCAGTCTGTTCCCACACTATCTGACCCTCAGCCAAGCCTACAGGGATATGGTGCGCTACTGGGGTTGGACCAAGTTCACACTCCTGTATGAAAACAATGAAGGTGAATATGAGGATACTATTCGAAAACATTAGTACGTGTAGAATCCATTCTCGTTATATCGAATGTCAATCTCGTGAAGCTAAATAGTCTACCCCAAGATATACCTGTATACTTTTTGTCCTGTACGTTTGTAATATTTTTGCTGTATACTGTCCATCTTTTCTTCTCTTCTTGTATTTGAATCTATGTAAAGTGGATCTTGTTCCCAACACTTTTGGGATTAACATTATATTATTTATTGGGTAATTGGGTTTTGAAACATGGTATTAACCCGAAGTTAAATACTATCTTAAATGTATCAGTACAGTGATAAGGTCATCGTGTTGTTAAATAAGTGCAAGTCAAGGTGATATAAGCCAAGAACATATGTGCGATATATCAATAATACATATATGGCGTATGCATCCTAAACCAAAAGTACTTCATCTCTATTAAATCTGCTCTATTGGCAGCCTCGGGTAATACGTGGTATTCAAATATCTGTATCCAGAATTCGGCTGTGTATATCTCTTCAGGTAGTTGCACACAACGTAATGCATGTAGCATCATTTACATCGAAGAAAATTAACGACCCTTTTTTTAATCCCAGGACTGACTCGCCTGCAGGAAGTGCTCAAGGCACCGGAAATGGGCAAAGCTCGAATAACTGTTCGAAAACTAGAGCCGATCAACAATGATTATGTGAACATGTTCAAAGAGCTCAAAGAGAAAGGACAGTTCCGAATGGTCATCGACTGCAAGTTGACAAGTGTCAAGAAAATTTTACATGCGGTAGGAAAAGAGGATATAGCCAATTTCAACTTGCCTATCGCAGCGTTATTGTCCAGACCAATAGTCAATGTTAACTCTCTGTCAATATCAAGTGGCAATTTTGATACAGGTACATTAGTCGACACAGTGATGACTTAGAACAGAATACGAGTCGAATTGTTTTGTATGCGAATGGTATGGCATTTTTATGTTTTTACATTTGAAATTATTTTAAAGATAATAAATAGATAAATGTTGCATACATGAATTATACAGTATTTATCAAGATCCGAATGGGATATTCAAGGTATACGGACGATAAGCATGAAATTATATGTATGCATATGTACAATTATATTCATATATGTGTCACTTTGAGGTCAACACATTTTTCTCAATATTAGTCAATGAAAAATGTACATGGAAAGTTTAAATTGAAAAAGTAAATGACCTGAAAATGCCTTTTGGTATGAATGCATAATTAAAGTGTTGCCATTGAAATTAACTATATGCATGTTATATGGAAGATGCATTTCATTATTCTGCTTGTGTGAGAATCCTAAAGTGACCCGAGGAACAAATACATCCCTGGTAGTTACTTGCAGACATTTATTGTGGCACATACACTATTTAGAGACATATTCTCGTTGTTTTGATATTAGGATCCATGTAACTACTCTGGCTTTCCATTGTTATAACTACTCAGTACCTTACGTATGTCCAGGCTTACATGATTATCAGGATAATGATGTATATGATCTGACAGTAACATATATTGTCCATAAAAAACACTAACTTCCAACTTGGAAAGGTTCGCAGCAGTGCTAAACAATATCATTACCCCGGTCAATGGATCAGTGTGCACTGGAAATTCATTCTCAACTTCCTTGGGAGTATACAACTCACACTGCCCATGAGGTATTAGAAATTAACAGTCACATAACCATCTCTCTTCTGGGTACCCATTCGCTGCAGGGTGAACAGAGGCATATTTTGAACAAAATCACTTGCCGAAGGAGATACCATATATGACATGTGCTTCGGTGTAGGACAGGACAGAAACCCTAGAACCTCTCAGGGGTTCAGCTTGCTGAACACGGTCACCCATCCTTAACTGTCCGCCACCATCATGTGCATGATCTAGTATGTAGGTATTCCTAACATGCGTGTCAGTAGGCTGTATTTGAAGGGGGAGTCTAATAATTCATTATATTTTTCAGGCACTGAAAGTGCAGATGTTGTCGCAATATTATCATTACTTCTTCACAACACTGGTAAGTTATGCCTGATTGTTTTCATCGATTATTTTCTATTTAATTGTCTCACTCTAAATCGGGCCCACCTCCGTGATGGAGTGGATTAACATCTGCTCGGAGGGCTGAAGGTTCGATTCCCTGGCGGCGTCATACCAAAACACCTTGAAATATGGTACTTATTGTTGATCAGCCTGACCTCCCCTCAAAGGGTTAAACAAGGACTGGTCAACTCGGGAGTCAGTATCATGTGTCGGATGTTACACTGCGTCTGTATAAAACAGGCATAAGTCCGGACTAGTACAAGAGGTCACACACACGCGCGCATGCATTTACATCGCTTTATATGTGAAATAATCATTTGCTTTAAATCATTTCAAGTTTTGTGTTGAATTCGTTCTGTGACGTTTCGGTTACATATCGACACAATACCTATGTCTATCTTTCATGCATCAAACTACATCCATGATATGGTTACTGAGAACGCAGTGAGATGAAAATCAGTCGAGAAATCTGCATTGGTCATTTATAGAGAAAGATTAGGATTGAGAAATTTGTATCGTCTTAAACGGTACATCAAGTTAAAAACATCCGAATTAACGAGGTTTCCCTTTATCATACACTATCAGCACCAGAGCTATTTATGTGTTAAACACAATATCCGTTGTACCGCCATTTGTTACTATGGTTCAAGAAATGGGGGTGGAGGTCAACATACATGGAAACGCGATTTTCCTCGTAGTGTAACAATATTCATCGATTTTAGAAGAAAAACCATTAGAATGTCAGATGCATCCCACACAAGGATCCTGGGAATCTGAATCCGTTTCAGCTTCCGACGAAAGTGCCCTTTATGATACTTTCATGACATTTTCAAGATGAGTTCAAAATGTCTACGGAATTGCTTTTGTAAAAAAATATCAAACAAACAGAAAACACGATGTATTTTCTATTTCCTCAAGGAACTCTCAGAGTCGCTTCATATCATGATGATAGTCAGAAAAGGGCGAGAAAACCCAAGATTCATGTATTATTGCTACAAAAGCGATTACAGTTATTTATCAAGGAAATATATGTTCTTTGAAACATAAATGTCAATATTAAAATGAAAATAGAAATATAACTGGTAAAGCAAGGTCTGTAGTGGTACAAGTTCTACGTTCATAAATATATCAAAATGTCAACACAAGTTCATATGAGCACAAATATAACTCTAGCTTCTAATATGTTCTATGAAATATGCCCTGGAGTCTTTTATGTAAATGAATATATTGGTATATGTCCTCCACTGCACGTATACCGCGTATGTACCAAATGAACGCCGACGATAAAATCGATTTGATTGAAAGGGACTTTAAAGAAAATACACAATATGAATTTGTATTCTTTTGACTACAATTCATATGAGAGGATGGGTATTACATTCACTACATACGCCTTAGTTCACTTTAATAGTTACAGTAACATCACAAGGCGTTTACAAGCAGGAACACCAGCATTGTATAGATACGTAGATTTGCTTTATGTAAGACGCAAGCAGCGTAAACGATGTAGTAAAGTAAATGCTCCCATTTCTGCAGGATCTTGGCCTAGTAGATCTCGAAGACTACAAGCACGATGGCGCTAACATCACATCTCTCAGACTTATCGATCCTGATCGGCCTGAAGTGGTCAACGTTCGAACTGATTGGTTGTACAAGGCAAGGAGATCGGGGGATTCCCCACTCAAAGGCTACTCTGAGATTCAGGTATGTTTGGGCCCACGTCTAGTATACTTGGCCTTTTTCCATTTAATGTCCTGTTGGAAACGCTTGAGAGTCAGAATCGTTTCGCATATTGGCTAATTTGTTCCAAGTTCAGACGTTTCCAAGTTTTCGGTAAACATTCCACAGACAGTGAAGTTTTAATTTGTATTCATTTTGATCCCAATTATAGTCCAACTGTTTACGCTGACACATGAACTTGGCTCTAATTGAATTTTGCCCAAATACAAGAATACCACGTTAGCCACAGCATAGCTACCTTAAATACGATATGTCAGATTTGATCTTACTGTAGTACTGTTGTCCCTCTTATAAATTTATGGAACGGAATTTACACATGATCAACGAGACATGGTGTCTGGCTCTAGAAGCCTTTAATTTAAGTCATTGAATCAAAAGATTGATTCCGACCAAAATTCGCAGTACTCGGATATCTGCCACCTTCATGACCAGCAGTGACTGTCTTGTTAATACTGATAAAAATAACGCCATAAAAACAATACAGGTGATATACACCAATAATTCTATGCTGTAGTTTACCATATTTTACCTTCTTTAATGCGCTCTGTCAGGGAAATATCACCGACGATGTAGCGGTATGTCATCGTTGTTACCGTGTCATTAATGTTGTGCGTGTTGTTGCCGTCCCACTCAGAAGTGGAGTTGCTGTTTTCATCAGTTATGCATGAATTTGTCGTAGATGATGACATTGTTATGTTTTTTCGCATATTTTCATAAAAAGTAAATTTGAGTTATTCATTCAAAACTAAGTTATGTCAAATTCGATTTATTATGGTATGAAGAATTGAGTATTCGTGTTTTCTCAGGCCAGTGTTGGTATCACCTTTACGGTAAGACGATAACTGAATTTGGTTATGCTTTGCATCTCAAACGTTATACTGGATAGCCTTTTATCGTTTATGTGTTCTGAAAAACTTACACATCTGCAGGACCTATTGCACACAACTGTGGCATACAAATATACACTGCTATGGTTTATTCGTCTCATTCCACGTCCTCTCGTAGAAATCTTGCTGGTATATATGTTTTCCATTATAGATGAGGGTATATATTTACATGATAGTGTTTCTGTATCTTGTTATTGTGAAAGCAATGTCATTCTATTTCTTTGTATATTTCTATAGAGTGCCCTCTCTGTCTGTTTTTGTTCATATTCACTTTTGTTGTTTTCCTGCTTCAGTGAAAATGTGTTACCAATATACACGGAATATAGTTTAGTCTTTTGACAAACGGTAATAACGATTTATACACGATGAGTGTAAATATAACCAAAAGTGAGTACTTATTGAGGTCAGTGATGAACAATATAAACGAATATCCGTTTGCTGTATAAGATGATACTCCTTGAAAACAGTAATACTTGTTTGAAAACCGATCATGATATATTAACATTTCATTCAATATACAAAATTTGACTGATATTCTGATTTCAAAATCACTTCTTTCTATTGGATTAAATACCAACATTTGTGATCAAATTATCATCAACTACCAATTTATCATTTGCTTGTTACTGTTACTAACGATTCATTGCATCATATGGAGATATCATAGCATATGCCGTGAATGTTCTGATCATTGTTGCTATGTAAATGAATCAAAACATAACCCCATGATGGGAATATAACCTGCTTATACGGCCCGTTGAGGATTCTAACGATAAAATGTTTGATTAATATGGTTGCCACCGGTATGGTAATATATAACTAAAGATACATGTTGCTTGCCTACCATTGGAAACAAACACACGTTTTACCTTGATAGAGGTATGTGTGTCAACTACAAAAGGTATAATTAATATTGTTATATTTCGTGTCATATTGTAGGTATGAGTTGTATTGAAGAAGGTTTTATTGTCGAAACGGTTACTTATTGTCGATGTTATCTTTGTTTGTAGACGGAGACTGCGCTAGCCTACGACGCCGTCCAGTTGTTCTCTCTGGCGCTTCACGAGTTGTCCCAGGCCCAGGACGTGACCAAGGCAGTGTTGTCCTGTGACACCAAGCAAACATTCCAGTTTGGAAACAGTTTACTGAATTTCATGAAATCGGTAAGTTTATTACCTCAAAGAATAATCCTTTATTACCTGGTTCAAATCAATCTGAAGTTTGATATCAGATATAGTCTATAAAGATTGAGCATTGCATTGATGATCCCAGCAATAGTTTCAAAACATGTAATATATGTTCCAAATATTGAAATAGTTACAAACAATAATATTTTGTCAAATGGCTTTATTGTGCTTTAATATGGCAAATGTTGTGCATATGGTACCAGCAATATGACATTACAAATCTTTTTGAATTCCGATTCCGTTCTAAGCATTAAATCAAGTCATATTGAAAATGACATTTCCTCAGCTGTCGATTAGTTCTTGGTATACTTAGAATGTGTTAGAACCACCTTGATCCCAAGTCAGCTACAAAGTCTTGTTGTCGAATAACGTATAGCTTTTGTGTAATGCACATGCTCCTTCTCAGGCGTATATATAACAAGTACAACGTTGTGACGACAGTGTGGTTCCAGTGTTGTAACACACCATCATGCATACATGTAAGATAGTTGGTGCAGGAAGACGCATGGTCCTGCACCATGACTGTGGAATATATTTATTTTATGAAAACAAAAACAATCTAGACATATATTCAAAAGCAAGTCTAGCCAGCTCTATGAAATCAACACTGTAATAATTTGTTTTAATTTAAGAGGAGAGAAATGTATTGTATAATTAAAAAATCCTAAACTGTATGTTAGGCTAGAAGACGCAGTAACTCTAGTTTTGTGACTGTCACAATTACTACATTAATGGATATCAACTTCTGATGAAGAATATATCAGTTCTAGTTTCTTCACTGCAGCATACCTTGGTACATGTACATATATGGATACACATATCATATTTCTGATACTCGCATTCCTTCCATGGATGCGTCTTTGAACCCTTTTCATTTTACAGCTCTTAAAAACGTTCATTCTAACTATTTCGCATGTGGCTTCAGCGTTTTACGCTTTGTGACAGGGTGTGTTTTTCTCTTGATGGACGAGGTGATAATAGACCTTGAGGCAGTTCACACTCTTCACAACTGCATTTTTACACCTTTTTTACCCGGCTCATTATGTACAACCAACAGTTTTACTTCAGATTCGTTATGACGTCCATGCGTCAAAATGTGTTGTGAAGTATGTGTATGTTGACAGAGAATTGCATAGACTTAAACTTCAAAATTATATAAGATAAACATACAGACTTCGACTGATTACTTCAACAGCGACATGGCTATATTTCCTTCATGTTTTCATGAACATGTTTCATTCTCAAAACAAACTGTCGATTTTACTTGCCATTTCGTATGACATAATAGGTCCACGGTACCATTTACACGTCGATATGTAGGACATGATGTCACGGATAAAGCATTCTTGACGCACAAGAAATGTGATCGATGATATGCTGTCTTGCTTCCTGCATGTGTTTAACGCATTCATTCACTTGTACGAGTGTGTCATAGTATAATTAGTACTGATAAACATTTTGAAATCCATTGGCTTTAGACATGTTCTCATTCGCTGTTGATTATCAATATGACAAACATATTATCGACGAAGGACAAACGATTGATATGTACTGAAGTATCACATTCTGTGCTTTGAACGATATTATGTTTTCGCCCAAGCAAACCACTTTTACAAATATAATATGAAACGTCGACACATGAGAATAACCAGTCTCAATTATACGACGAAACAGATTCCATTAGGTGTAAAAGGCAAATTAGCGGTGACAGTTATTGGAATGGATCACTGACAATAAGTGATGACTTGAGGTGTTCGCGAAAAGGGTAATCATGTCCTGCCCTATCGGTAGCACACGGGACTTGAACAATTTGCAAATAAGCTGATAGAATCACAGCGAAAACATACACTAGTCCTCTTCGCCAACATCGGCACGTTTAAGTGTTTGTAATAGAAAAACAGAGGTCTTTCAAACTGACAATTGCTTCGTTTTGAAAGAAAACATACATGTAAAATTTCAGAAATCATTTTGCATCACATTACAGTACATCACAGGAAATATCCATTTCAGAGTACGTTCGCAATATTAAATTCTACGCCGCGTGTTCATTAAAACATACATTGACAGAACAGATGCAGATACTGAGGTTTTCTTTGCTGATCAATATGTCTAGACGGAATGGAATATTTTCGTGATTGATGTCAGGAATTCAGTGGAATATGTATGAAATAGCGCAACATTTTTTTTTAAAAGTGTGAGAGTCAAGGCATATTTTCATGTCTACAAAGTTTCATTTTTATCCATTTTGTACATGACGGGTCATCTTTCTTTCATTAATTCAATGCTATGGATTCAAGGTTCTATGTGATAATTAAAGAAGTATCATTATCGTTAACTACGTTTTAGATAAAATTAGAGAGCACCATGCACCTTTGTTTTGTAGACACATTTCCAACTAGCGTTTTGGGTTTTACTATGAAACGTTTATTCAATGTAGCATTACATCTATTCCAGATTGATCTTAAACCCTTTAAGAACATCGTACGTTCAGACGACTAATTACTAATTTAATCTTTCTCCGGCTTTGATCTCAGGCATCGAAATATCAGTCCCTTTGTGTATTTTATATATCCAGCCCATTCCCCATGTGTAAATACGTGTCTAATTGTATATTCAAATCCGGTTATTTGCAAACATATATTTGTGTATCTTACCCTAATGTTTCGAAAAAGAACAGACAGTTGCGTTCTCAAATAATCTGATTTTCTTTTCACGAATGTCTTGTTCGTTTGCTTGTACCAGACACATTACCAAAGTGCATACGTAGTTTAAGGTAAAAAATGTAATTGCTCTTTCAATAGTGCTATATGAAGAAACCTGAAAAATCAAAGGTTATCTTTATTCTCAAACTATAGCCTCTACATGTGTTGGAAGGGGGACAACTCCACTTTAGAAGAAAGAAATCAATATTGTTCAATTACATGTTCGTGTCCTCAAGGTGACTGTTTGAGAAAGTGGTTGCCCGCTCAACTTGTCACTAAAAAACTTGTGACTATTTCTTCAAAAGAGTGGTAAGAAGCATTGCTTTTTGTAGCTAACCTATGCTCTTCCTTTTGGCATATTACAGCTTTCGTAAAGAATGTATTTTTTTGTTTGCAGCTGAACTTTGAAGGTCTATCAGGACCGATCCGATATGATAATGGAGAGCGCAGAGACTTCAGCTTAGACGTACTTGAGCTGAAACTAACAGGCCTTATGAAGGTATTGATAAGAAAGTGTCAGCTTGTCTTTAGCTTTCTGTCCAGTTATATTTGTATGAATAAGTGTTGTTGTTTTTTATGAAACTAGAAACATGCAAACTATTTCTGGTAACTTGCATGAACGTGACTTCAGTAATGTTTCCTCAGCGTCATATATGTCAGGTTTAGGCGATTACATGTGCAACTGAGATGACCTCAACCTATACTGAACCAAAACGTTCAGGAATATTTTAGGGGTTATATTGGTAGTAAAGATTGAGCACATAAAAATTCATAAAATATCCCAAAAAATATTCATGATCCCTTACCGTTTTGGTTTATTATATATGGATTAATACACCCCAGATAAGTGTCGACCTGTTGTAAATGCATATTCGAACTTCAACTAATGTAAACCTTTGAAAAGGTTTACAGCTAATGTACTAACATCACATATGAAGATATCAAGAAACAAATCACTAAACTGGTTATTATGATGGTTGTCCAGAATGTCCTACTAAATGGGTTATGTATACCAGGAAGATTTCAAAAGTAAATGTTATTGAGCGTACCAACATTACATGTTTACAATGTTTGAATAACCACCATTACCCTGAATTACAAAATATTAGAGTGAACTAAGGAATTAAAGTATTTCTTTATACGCCACATAATCAGAGATGTTTAAATGGAAGCGCTTCTCATATTGATTTATAATGGCCTGTCATTATATCGTTTACTCAAACCATCACTTGCGTTCCAGGTTGGTAGCTGGAACAGGCATATCGGTGTTAATATGACGAAAACAGATGATGAAAGAAGGAAAGAAGTGGAAAGTTCTCTTAAAAACACAACATTGGAAGTTGTAGCCGTGGTGGTAAGTAGACCTTTACATGACTGCAGTCGGCTTGTATCGAACTTCACATATCGTATATGTTCGATGTTCCACAGGACATCGACTAAGAAAACGTAATTATGTTCGACTGAGTGTGTTGTCGGTATTTTTCTGCTATGTTCAGCTATTTTTGCAAAAAACAATATGGTGGGGTATAATATATCATATTCACGAAATTGTTTTTACATTCGAATGATGTAGAAAACGCACTGTACATTGGAATATCATCTGTATCATTGGCATGTATGCACAGCAGCGTTATGTCATTGTCATTTTCACTTGACACTACTTCTGGTATATACACCGCGGTTAATCGTTTTATAACACTGACAGAATTCAATAGTCCTGCAAATAAGCCCCTGGGGTCATACCCTTTGGGTTAATTACGCCCGACATCCTGTGTTTACCACTGGGGTTTGATTGATGACAGTCATGGTAAAGACCCAATTTGAGTCTCCACTCCACATGGGTGCAGTGTATTACTACTAATGGTCCTTTATTGTGTTATTAGGAAGCTCCGTATGTTATGGAAGTGAAACACGTAGACGGTACCATCACTTACGAGGGCTTCTGTGTGGATCTTCTGGATGAAATCTCTAAAAGAAGGCAATTCAACTACAGCATCAGAGTAGTTAGCACCTACGGCAAGTTGAAGAATGGAGAATGGTCTGGTATTGTCAGAGAACTAATCGACAGGGTGAGTTAAATGTTAAATATTAAATTTGGTAAATATCATATGAAATGGTGTGACCATGAGGAAGCTGAACTGTTTCCCGTTTCGTATCCAATAACCCATGATAAGTATTTGTTCTGTGGATTCTGTTTCACAAAGTGATGATACAGACTCCAAGGACATTGTTTTCTTCTTTTTTAAGTGATATCATTTATTGCTTTCAAAGACGGAAAGGGAATAAAAGATATTAGATATGACTGAATTTAGATTTGAAGAGTTTACTTTCTTCTGGGCCTTACATTACCACACCAATTTCTTGCCAGCCATTTAAAGGGGCAGTTAAGTCTCTAAATATGAACTTTCGCCCGAAATTGAAATATTTTGTTGTTTAACGCAACACTCAGCAATATTCCAGCTTTATTCCAGACGGCAATGGAATAATCGAGTCTGTACCAGCTGTACATATGATGATAGTTTGAGCAATGTCCGAAAATGTCGGGTACGACAACATAAAATCAACCAACTCATTGAGCGGCACCACCCGATCATTTAGTCGCATCAAACAACAAGCATGAGTTGCTAGGGACCATGTTCTAACCATAAATTCCCACGAGGCAGCAATAACTCTTGCTATTGAACCTTGACCTTTAAACCAAAGAATGGACAAACAAGACAAGACAATTTATTCAATATAGAGGCCTAAAATACAGACATATAGAAGTTACATTTCTTAGCGCTACAAAATAGCTTTTAGTAGTTTTCTTTGTATGAGGTAGACAACAAATACATGCACACACATATAGCCCAGTAACACACATCATGTGAAGTATTCTTGGAAAATAAGTATTTTTAGTGTTATTGAACATATTTCTTATTTTTGCACATTAAATTGGTAAAAACAGATATGATTTATTTTTTCTTCATCTTGAGTGTTCATTATACTTGAATACTTGATGAATGTGTTTACTGCACTGTCATTTCTTATGTCTTTACTAATATACTTCTAATAGAGGTATATGCATCACATACAAGTAAAGATTAATTTCATCTGAAACAAAGAATATCATTCTTCAAATAATTAATTCCCACCCATTTGTATTCTTGTTTCTAGAAAGCAGACCTTGGCCTTGGTGGCATGTCCATCACCCATGGACGAGAACAGGTCATCGACTTCACGAAGCCTTTCATTACCCTGGGTATCACCATCTTATACAAGAAGCCAACCCCCAAGGCTCCACAGCTGTTTTCTTTTCTCTCTCCCCTGTCTGTGGAGGTGTGGGTGTACATGATCGCAGCCTACCTCTGCGTCAGTTTTATGCTTTTCGTTATTGCAAGGTTTAGTCCCTACGAATGGTGCAACCCTCACCCCTGTAACCCAGATGCTGATGTTGTGGAGAACCAGTTTACCATCCTCAACAGTCTCTGGTTCACTATTGGTTCCCTTATGCAGCAAGGTATTGTTCCAGATTAAAACATTTTTTCTCCTTCTTAAATAACACTAAGATCATACTTACAAAAGTAAGTAAACTGACATTTTTGCAATGGAATTATTTAAACTATTCACTATTCAAATTATAGATGCAGCATTTCGCCTTCAAACTGTATACATTGTAACAATGTTAACCTTACCGTTATTCATCTGTCCTCAGGCTGTGAAATCGCGCCTCGGGCCATCTCCACCCGTCTTGTGGCAGGCATGTGGTGGTTCTTCACACTCATTATGATCTCCTCCTATACCGCCAACCTGGCTGCTTTCCTCACCGTGGAGAGAATGATCTCTCCCATAGAAAGCGCCGAAGATCTCGTCAAGCAAACAGTCATCAAATACGGCACACTGGAGGGAGGCTCCACCATGGCGTTCTTCCAGGTACACCAGCATCATGCGCTACGCCATCTCCATCCTAATCTCCGACAATGTTCTTTCAGGAGAGCATTACCGTTCAGTCTTTATTCTTTATTGTACCACATTTATCTATCGGCCCTTTAGCAATATACATTTTTAATTGTTTGATAATGGAGAGTTAGGCAACGCATAATTATAAATGTTTTCCATTTTGCAAAAATTGTACGTACATAATTACTTACGATATTACATATAATCGCACACGTTTGTAAGTTCATTATTCGTACTCTTTGCAGAATTCCAAAATTGAAACATTCAAAAGAATGTGGAATTTCATGAATACATCCGAGGACAATGTGTTTGTGAAAGACGGAGCCGAGGGTGTGAACCGAGTGTTGGCAGGGGGATACGCCTATCTTGGGGAATCCACGTCAGTAGAATATAACATCCAAAGGAACTGTGAGCTGATGCAGGTGGGAGGCCTCCTCGACTCCAAGGGATACGGCATAGCAACGCCACCGGGTAGGTCCATGAGTCACAAGGTATATCAGATACAGGAATTATAAACCTGTATTCTCTGAGGAACCAGTGTGGCACAATATATTCTATGCACACACACACACACACACACACACACACACACACACACACACACACACACACACACACACACGTACGTACGTACGTACGTATGTATGTATGTATGTATGTATGTATGTATTCCTTTGGAATAGGTCTCGTCCCCACCAACATATGTCTTTAGTGAGGGGAGACTGAAATACTGGATCAGGTGGTCATACTTGGTGATTTGTGTTGCATCCTTTTTCGGCAGGGTGGAACGTTGCTCAGAATATCAATCACTGGTTTGTCGAAAATAGCTGGAATATTACTGAGTGCGACATTAGACAACATCCAAAGAAACTTGGTGTACGAGACATTGGTAAATAAGTGATGAAATCATTTTCAGCAAGAGAATTTATGGATGTCAACTCATCAGATGAAGGAGTAAGCATATACTCCGAAACGTTGGGTTACTCATAATAAAGAAGTTGACATCCATAAATTCTCTTCCTTGTGTTTACACACTTCTAAATTCGTTTCGAAGACTTGAAATCATTATAACTTTTCTCACGCACTCATTTCCCTGTCCTGTTTCAGAGTCCCCTTTCAGGGACTCCATCACGGAGACGATTCTAAAGCTTCAGGAGGAGCAGTTTATCCACACTATTCACGACCGATGGTGGAAGGAGAAGAATGGTGGCGGCAAGTGTGTGGCTGAGAAGAGCTCCAACCAGAAGAACAAGGCAGCTGAACTCGGGGTGGCGAACGTGGGTGGCGTGTTTGTAGTGCTAATGGGAGGTGTGGGTGCCGGGTTCATCATCTCCCTCTGTGAGTTTATATGGAAAGCCAGAAAAAATGCCAGAAAGGACCAGGTGAGGACACACGATATATGCTGTTCATATGAAGTAGGGGATATTTTTCATTCCACCTTATGGAACAGCTAGACCCTGTTCGTCTAGACACACCCGGATATTTACTGATATATGCACATATTAGACATTACATTTTATTTGTTCATCCGGAAACTCGTTAATAAGGGCGATTGCTTATCTGTGTACATGTAGGACATAAGATATATTTCGTATGCCGGAAACTCGTTAATACGGTCGATTACTGATGTATACACATAATGGACATTACATTTATTTGTTAATCCGGAAATCCGTCAATACGGGATTGTACCTTCCGATTTAGCGGGTTTCACTGTCGTCAAAGCTGACACGTAAGGGATGCTTCCAAAATCGTCACTTTTCAGCATCACGCCACCAGTCATTGATGCTGTACGTGTCAAAATGTCCAGGGAGTGTGCATCATGTCATTTTTCACTTGTGGTATTTAATTTGCCTCAAATTCCATTTGGCGATTAAATTCCCAAATCGACGGCTATTTCTTCAATTGAATAGCAACGGAATTCTATTAAACCAAAGAAGGCTTTTCGATGTCGCTCAAGGAAACGTTTTTGTTGCGTCATACAAATCAGTAAGACAAAAAAATAACTGTGAGCTTCTCACAATCTGTCTGAGGTAATGCACTGATTTCATCTTGAGCTCCGTCTTCCTGAGAGTGCGGGTTTTTTGGCACTGTCGACATTATCAGAACATTATCTTGATCCCACGACTTTCCACGTGACGGTAAGGTGTGACAATTACGTCATTGATGATGGTAAACGTTACCTATAGTACATCTCGTTCTTAAACATGCATCTCTATTGGCCTACATCTTAGTAGTCTTTGCAAGAGCAGCTGAATATCACTTGTTAGTGCAAAACTATATGTATTCGCTATACATGTAAAATACAGGCGTGAGTCACTGATCCTAAAACACGTGAAACTCGTTCGCAAACCTATGTGCATAAAGCAATTATTCTATTCGTACAACGTCTTCAACCCTTGTCATTAACAACCATCAATGGAAGATCACTTCTTTCCATCTCTTTCGACTTCATATTTTATATGTCAGTGAGGCTATGACAAACAGCAAGATTCCAACAAATAAAACTCTTTGAATCTCTTGTGTGTTCAAGAAATGTTATTGCAAGAGTGATATCTCACTTTAAGAACAACTTCGTTGATTTAAATCACATACAAAATGTAATGTTTTTACATTCTATTTTTCACTTGGGCCCTTTCGAAAATACTAGCCGTCAGACGTTAATGGATTATCACCATCATAGAGAAATATCATTAATTTTAAAATGCTTTTGAAGTGTGACGTTATAGCTCCATAGCAGGATACGTCATTGTCGAGCTGCACACAGCTAAAGCAAGTCACTGGGTCTTTTTGTTTCACAGAACAGTAAACAGTAGCACTGCTTCAACCCCATTCATCATGTTATGAAAACAATGGACCCCCGAGAGAATGTGGAATTTTACCTTTTATACGTCTTCCATGCAATATATTCCATCACAATATCTACGAAACTATTTGAGAGTAAATTGATTTTCTTGTAACACAACCTCAGGGAAACATGATTAGAATTCAATCGATATCTCCTGAGGTAAAAACAATCACGTCTTGCAAGACTTACGATGAGACCTCGGTTCTATTTTCTACAGAATGCTGCCTTGAACGTATTTTTAAACACATCCATGATATGTGACCAACTGTTAGTTTTTGCAAGCCTCACTAATTTCATTTTATTGTTCATTGTAGCAAACGCTTTGCTCCGAAATGGCTGAAGAATTCCGATTTGCTGTGAGATGCTTTGGATCAAAGAAACCTACGAAGAAACGAGACAAGGAGATAACAGATAACGGACTGCAGTTCATGCCGTTGACAGGCTACGGACACAATTCAGTTGGTGGAAAGGAAGTGTACGCATGACAGGAAGACTTGCTATAACTTTGTACATGTTCTGCAAGAGAGTGCACAGTCGTGTTGTGAGTGAGGGGATACGTGTTTGTGTACCGGAAGTGCCAGAAAATGACATAAAAGACGATCACTCATCTGGAGGGCATTTGATCGATACATCTCAATCAAAGGAGAGCTACTTGCTCCCAATAAAGTGCCTTATGAATAAACACAAATCATCTTGTGAACCCAGGTTTGTTTATTCCTACCAAAGCTGAACCAACTCACATGAAGCTCATCCGGTAAAGACCGGAAACATGTGCTATGACTGTCTCGCAGTGAAGATGAACTATTTTGAGAGTTTACATACATGGTTAGCTGTGGAGGCCAGATTCGGTAGATGATGAGAACATATTTTTGTACAAATGCGTGTAAGATAAGGCTTTATGTATGTGCTTGTAAAAAGACTTGCTGATGGTTTGTTCTGTCTGTATAAATAGTCTTCCATGCCTATATTGTAGGTGCAATGGAGGTTCTGTTGCAGCCTAGAGTCGAGCTTCTAGGTATGTCCATACTTTTGATAGGTTCATACAGGCTTTGGTAACTTTAGATGAACCAACATGACCAGTTTAGTTAAGCACAGTCTTTCGCCTCAAATTCCCACTGCTGACATGTCAAAAACGTCATATGTACAATACAGGATCCAGGATACTGCTCAAATATGTCGCCCTGTGGGAAGCGCGGGTTTTTTAAATGGTCTTTGGAATGATTTGAGCAGTTTGATAATGGTTTGTCTAACTTTTATTGAGTATGGCACATGGTACAATTTGTAGACATATTGAACACTATAAATACTAATTATGTCATCTCATTTCATTAAGCATCAGACGTTATTTAGGAAAGCAAGAAAGTTAACGTGTCACAATGATGTTTTTTTTTAATACTGGGTTTGTAGTACACGACGTTATTCCACATACTCTGAAATATTCGTGAAATTCCTCAGACAATGCTCATGAGATATTAGACTTATTCCAATGATCATTGGTAAGCTGAATATGTCAAACTAAATATCAAAGGTTGATCTCTAAAAGTAAAACAGACTTTTCATACCAATTTTACCAAATTACAACCGACTTTTGATATATCACCAACATAGCTGTCTCGAAGAAAGCAACACTAACTGTGGACTTTTTTATCAAACTGATTCAAGTTATAACATACTACAATTCTACTTTGCCATACAGTCACTATATGTTTTAACCGAGGAAAGTGTGCTTTTCAATCGTGGTTAAAAGTTGTTTACCAATAACCTGTGATTAGTTTCACACATGTCATATCCTGGAAGCTCTACTGTGAAGTATATCTTCATTCGCTTCCATCTTTCGCAAGAAATTCTTATCTGAGTAGATCATAGCCGGATGTGTGTACTAAAAGAGAAATTATTATCAAGCATTGAATCGGGGCAATGCAAGAATTCAATATCAGTTTGTTTCTTATCTTTACAAATCCGCGTCTTATTGAATAACCGATTGTAGGCTTCGCCTGGACATCATATTTTGTTTTCAATGAGGGCTCGTTCATATGTATCATCGTCAGACTTTCATGTATTCAATTGTACCCATTGCCTTTTTATTAGAGATTGATTTCTGAAGTGAATGTACGTTGTGTGTATATAAACAAACTACATTAAATGTTTTGGGTGAAGACAGTTTAAAGGACTACTGGAATACGACTTGTTGATTGGAATTTTACTTGATCTGTTACGATTAGTTCGCGTTATCGTTTACTGTTGCATGCAGTGAATATGTGGTCATGTCTACTATCATTTTGCCAATGAAACGGCCGCTGTGTTCACCTAACTGGAAACTATTATATGGCCTTGATAATCAGTATGGATGAGATTCGTTTTTAAGGAATGCCAATAGCATGCATATTACCTTGAGAACATGATTATGTAGCATATGGTGTGTTTTGTGTGGGTGTATTTGTATCAGTACAAATATGTCTTATCATATATGCAAATACTGTGCTATTATGTTGACTTTCTAGCAAGCTATGGATGTATCAAATTGGGAAGGGTCTGACTAGTGGATTCGAACCCAGACTTTTGTAACTTTGTATACAGTGTCCTAGTCAGTGATGGGGCTATCTCCCCATGCTGTTGATCTCCACTGCTTACCATCAGTCAACACCGTCTTGTTTACGACAATGCTATATCACACACACCTTTCCAAGGAGATTTCTTCAACTTCTACCGCACCTGTTTTGTGAGATTCTTTTATGAAACTATCACACACAAACCGTGTTGATATCATTCTCTGCAACATCATGCCATAACATGATATTTCAAAGTTCATGCAAATTTCAGATTTTGGAGAGTTAAACATGAGTCATTCATACGCTGTGAACCAAGTAGCAGTGAACATGCTGCGTTCGAGAGACATTTATGGGGTGGGTGTTGTACTGATAATGTCCTGTAAATACTATAGTAATCCACTGAATGGTGAAATATTCTGAGGCCATTAACCAGTTATGTGTGATCACAGGACATCAAAGCAGACCATGATGTATTTTTCAAAACAATAATGATCGCGACTAGGTCGCGAATATTTAGCATCCAAATGGCCTTTGCTTTGTCGTGTTTTGATTTATATTGAACAAACACGTTCCAAAGATCGCAATCGTGGCACGGCCATGTCGTGCTCCGGTCGCCATCAAGGGAACGTGTGTTTTTACCACAGCAATTGAATCAAGTGCTGTGAAGAGCTATAAAGTATTTGAAATTTGCCGTTTACAATATTCAGAGTCGTCACAGTGGTTAGAACAGAGCCATCTGGCGGTCTTATACATCCTACACCAAAACGTGGATCTACCGAGGGCACGGTTAGCCAGCTGATTTACTTATGGTATCAGGCGACCGTCTCATCGACTTTGACACCTCTGGTGCATCTGAAAATTATGTACATGAACTCATTGGGGGTTGTCAAATTGGGGGTGTCTCACTAATATTCCTCATCAGTAGTATGGTTATTCAATGGTGTTTATTGCATCAGAAGAGTTAACATCGTTTGTGTCATGCACCCTTATGTGATACTTGCAAGTTAACAGAATTGCCTTTTGTGGGGATAGTTAACACTGGACAAAACTCCTCTCTCTCTCTCTCTCTCTCTCTCTCTCTCTCTCTCTCTCTCTCTCTCTCTCTGAATCAATATTCATTTTCCTTTCTTTTCGTTAAATGACGTACTGTTGTAATATATTTCTCAGGAAATCTGGGCTTGTGTAAAACATAATAAACGGTTGTTATGTCATATGTGGTCAATGCATTGCCCCCCCGCGTTCAAACTGTAACATAAGCCAAAACAAAAATACATTGAATACATAATACATGAATGTTCGTGTTTGTGTTCTTATTGTTGTACCATTGTGTAGTTATGTCAGTTGAGGGAAGACCTGTCATGAATCTTGCACCTGAACGTTTAATGTCTTTCATATAACCTTCATAGTTTATATCCTTGTTTAACACAACTTTCAGCAATATCACAGCTACATGGCGGTGGCCTGTAATCAATCGAGACTGGACCAGATAATCCTGTGACTGATATCATAAGGGTCGCTCCAAGTAGTTGGGATGCAAGGACATGCCCATTCATCAATTATCCATTTAATTGCTAAATACGACAACCATAGATTACACGGGGCAATATTTTTACCTGGAATCCAGACTAAACTTTAATAGAAGTGTTGAGAGTAATGGAAACACTGAAAGTTCTATTCTCCACACAGACGTTCTTACTAGAAGTGGCATAATTAACTCACCAACTGAACAACAGAGGGAGGGCGCAGAAGTATAGTTGATACAGCGTTCGTTTGGCACGTCAACGACCCGGCTTCGCTTCCTCACAATGAATGAGGTGTGATACAATGTATGTAGCCGGTTTCAGCCCTTACACTAACAGCACAATATGCTTACTTTGGTTTCCAAAAATGTTTCAAAACGAATTATAGGATGACCTTACTCGGGATAACTGTCCATCCCAGAACTGTTATTCAAGCCCCTCTTCAAGTTGAATTTTATTATGTCTGTCTACTCGATAATGATCTGCCTAACAGCACAGACTCAATGTTCCAAGTTTCACATATGGCACTGGTTACAAAGTGAAGAATAAGGCAGAAAATGGACAAAATGTTGATGCGCATAATTATCCCTTGCACGTCCAAACAAATATCAGCTACAACGCCATTTTCACATACTGAACATATTGTGGAGTTAAGGTATCCTAGCGGTTAAAGAATTCGCGCGTCATGCCTTAGGCCTGGGTCGATTCTCCACATGGGTACAGTATGGAAGCCCATTTTTGGTGTCTCCCATCGTGATATTGCTGGAATGTTGCTAAAGGTAACGTAAAAGCATACTTACTAATTCATGGGTAGTGTGTTATATTTTTTTCATCAGAAATTGGCCTTACGCATTGTACCGTGTGGGAAATCATGTTTTGCATACTGAGTTGATCAATGATATTTATGAAGCCTGAATAATCTGAATCATGAAAATAGTGGTTGATAGATAACAGTTAACCATTTTATACGTAGTTGTGGTCTGTCTCCCATATCCTTGAGATTAAATTAAGAAATAAACTCAACTCAAGCCTAGAATGATTTGGCAAGGCAAAATTGCCTCAGCTCTCAGCATTGTTCAGGGATCCATTTGGATCTTATATTTTGTAGATATGTAAATGGTAGTCTAGTAGGGTGGCTCAGTGGTTAAATAAATATATGGCTCGTTATGCCGAAGAACCAGGTTCGATTCGACACACAGGCACAATGTGATCCGTCGTTTATCAGCACAGCCCACGTACTCGTGGGCTTCATCAAAGTCGCTTCATCTACAACCTGCGTCATTTTCAGCTTTCCCTCCTTACAAGCTGCCACGCATTCGTCAACACTCGCCCCTTTCCGTAACCTGCAAGGTTTTAAGAAGGCTCGTCCCCCTACATTAATGATATCTTTAAAAAAACTTTAAAAAACCAATAAGAATGCGCGTTCGACTTCATGTACTTCAGTCAAAGAATCCCTAAGGAATAATTGTTGATTTTACATATGTTTACAAGGACTGTCCCAACAGATCATTGTTTAATTCGTCCAAAATGGCGACGCCATTAGAGTCCTGAGATGCCATATTGGTAATTAGTGAAACTAATTTAATTCACAAGGGGTAAAATGTGAAGCAACAAAACAATAAGTTAGGAACGAACTTCAGAATCCGTACAAGAAATAAGTGAAAGGAAAATTCACAACACTTCCAAGAAAACACCTGAATATCCAAAATCTCATGCATCCGTCGCGAAACTGCTTGACCTTTGCCGAAGTCCAAACTTGCACTGAAGCCGATTTCTCACACGCAATCTCACGGGGTCTCACGTGACCTGGTGCTGAAGGAGAATTGTTGATTTTACATATGTTTTGCATCTAAAAATATATCCAAGATATAGTTAAATGTGTTCAATCATACTGTATTACCCCCGACGTGATTTAAATAGCATCTGGAATATATATTATATATGGGGGAAAATATACGTGAATCATTACGCAACGAGTACACAAGAACATAACTATTTTAGTTTTGCCCGTTCGGGCGTTTACGGCATCCAGTCGCAAAAATGGCAACGAGAGGGGCACGGGCCGCTATTCGGTTGTCCCGGAATAACACGAGTTGGTCTTGAGTGGCTGCCATGCTGTGAAATAACTGTAGCTCTGTTCAAAACGGCGTAAAATACAACTCAACCACACACTGGAAAAATGATCAAAGCGTGTTCATCACAAGGCACTCGGTTCAACCATTTCGTCCGTCAAAAGGGTACTGGTTATGTACTTTGAATCCGCATGAGGGTTTATACAATGACGAATGTATAACATTCATGAGACACGATCGACCTTAAAGATTTACAGACCGACAGACATTTTCGTTGTAAACAGTGTAAAGAGCGAAAGTCCTCAATACGTTGCGTGAATGAAGATGTTAGAATACTCTGAGAAGACCTGCTGTAAAGTGTGATCGAAACTAATTCCCTTTCTATACAACCTGGTTAATTCTTTCAATTCTATAAATACCGCTTAAAAGCAGAACATTCGGAAAAGAATATTCAACGTGCATATAACTCTGATTCTGTATGTCTCTTATCCCCCTCGCTGTCACTAACATCGTCGTTTGCATTCAGCGGCACTCGCTACTCCTTACGTGTATTCGTAATACACTACTCTGTAGTGTTAAAGGCCATATATCGGTGTTGGGAACTCCATCGGCTGATGGTGGGCACGCCGGATACCTTAGTCGTCGTACCGGGATCCGCTGATCGTGTGTTCGAATCCAAGATTCAACCAATAATGATATGTCTATGATTCTACTTCATCTGACACGTAATGATATGCAAAGGATCCTACAAATCGTTGTTAAAACCAGTTCACTGGGTCACTCATTGTTTAAGAGATTTACAACTGTTAACAAGGAACTCTTCTGGTCCACAGATCGTCTCCTATACTTCTGTTTAGTTTTCTTTGCCGATTAAGGAATTAACTGAGTGAGTTCAACGCCGATATGTCAGTTATATCGTGTCAGCTTGTTGTGCCCGGAATGATGCATACACGAGGACGGGCATGATGCTGACACACCTAAAAACATAATCAATGGCAATCCAGGATTCGAACCCTCGATCATAGGATTTGAGTTCGCCTTAGAAGCGCACAGTAATTGCAACACTTTGTCGACGGGGTCACTCGTCGCCGACAGTGCAGTCATATGTACAGGAAGCCATATGAAGGATATATCATTTAAAGCGTATTGTGCTCCAATACTTGTTTATATGTGTCTTTATGCATACGATTCAGAGTTTGTTCTTGAATTGACAGAATCAACACAATGGAATTTGGCCAAGCAGTTTAACTTTAAGCTTGAAAGCCACTGATTTACCTACCTAAACTAGAGACCAATAAAACCGCTTTATATGTTTCATATTAAGATCCATGCATGTATGCAATATTCAGAGTAACAACATCCTCTACACGATACTGTATGACAAGAAAGATTACTTCAACTTTCCAATTGTTGACTTTCCTTTTATGTCGAGAAATATTTCAGCAGCTCCAGCCTTTGGTATCTACATTTAACAACATTTGAAGTACACTCCATCACGCTCTTTCTACGAATATTTTAAAGAGCGTCATACGATCGGGGTTACAGAACCCAGGGCCCCAGCAAAGCTTACAAGACACTTTATGGTGCACATGTGGAGGACTTTTCCAAATTTAACGCATCGGTGACAAAAAAATATGTGAGATGCAATTCCTTATTTTGACTCGAAAATGTTTTCGTGTTGTTTTGTTTTTAAGTTGAAGAATTGACTTGTCTTTCCATGTGACTGTGACGGGTGCCATAGGTGGGACAGGATCCGCTTGCCTTTTCGCTAACACCTGATATCATCACTATCTCATAGTGATTGATAAGTACATGCTGGTGATATAGTCGGAACCGTTCAGTGGACTTCTTGGACGATGGATTTCTAATGATTATGGAAAGGTTTTTATTTATTATTGGTAGTAATATGATCATTATCACAATTTTCAGCGATTTAGTATAAATGGCTGTATCAGTGTGCCAAACTTTATGCTTTTATCCCCCTTGTAACAATAACATTGTTAAGCCCCTTGCCTAAATATCAATCACTGGTTTGTATGGTCCAAACTCTATTATTTACAAACTATAGTCATATAACTGGAATATTGCGCAAGATACAAATAACAAACTGATACGGTTATGTTTGTTTATATTAAACTGAAATACATGGATCTGACAAGACCTCGAAAGAAATATATTAAAGACATGTCAGGAAAATGATAACCCAAAACATTACCAATTAAACAAGGCGTATAACGCATGGAATCAATACTTATACAATTAGGTATCTATCAATCTGTTGATTGATGCAAATATTCGTTAACCTCCTTAAAACGAAAGAAAACTTGCAAATTGTACAACACTGATAGAATCCACGATTATTATTATCTCTATCGACAAATCCTTGACTACTTGGAACACCCTCCAATCGTCTGTGGCATATACCAGCATCGGAAATCTGCATAAACTCTATAAAATGTAATCTTCCATGAAAAGTAGATAGTAATTTGAGGTCTGTGCAACATATCGGAATATCTATCGACCGTACATGCAATTCTTCCCCGGGGTCTTGAAAAGTAGGAATCGGATCTAAATGCAAATCAACACTTAGGTCCATGGGGTGCTTCATTGGAACGTGAAAATCATATAAATATACGTCACGCTGGAAAGCTCTGGAATCAGTAAAAAACCAAATGTGTAAAGATCCCTTTGGTGATGACTTTACA